AGTGCTGGGCTTCTAGCCTTGACTATCCCAACCATTCAGGGCCCAGAAAGGGGAAGAGAGCACCCCAAACAGTCAGCATGGCTCAGCCCAAAGCCCCAGCTGAACCCATGGTGCTGCTAACTGGAGGGAAGAGGGAGGGGCTCAGAGGACAGATTAGTTGAGATCCTCCCTGGCCCTCACATTCCATGGTGCATACATTTATCCTGAGCACCTACTATGTGCACGACCACTCCATGCAGTGCTCTGAGGATGGGGTGCAAGGTCACAAAGCAGTCTATCTCCAAATCCTGTCCTCAGGGACTTGCTTTGGGAGGAACGTGATACACACCAGCAGGAGGACTCTTCAGACATAAGCCCACAGTGTAAGGGACGCAGTGAGGCAATACCGACATGTGCCAAGTGAGTTTATGGCCAATAAACGTGGCAGGAGCCCCAAGGAAGGTGCTATATCGACAACTGAACAGTGGCTGAGCCCTCAGGGGTTCAGAGGCTGGGACATTTCAAAAATCACATCACCCTAACTTGAAGCTGGGCCTGGGTCTGCCCACCAAGAGCAGACACATTTTCCCTGTCTACAGCCCTATAAAGACCCACATGATACCTGCAAGGGAACCTTACACAGTGGCGATATGGCCATTCCCAGACTGATGTTTGCCCTGGGATGCCATTAGGCTTCATTTCTCAGGTTCCTTTGTCTCTGGTTTGTACACACTCAATGCTGATCTGGTCATAAATGCTACCTAAAGAGCAAAAAGAAAATCCTTTCCCTAAACCCAAGTCTTGCTGCTCAGCTTGTGTCAAGGGTGGGGATGGGGGGGGTGAAAGATGCATGCCGGTGGAGGGGCTGTAGATGGGCTCTAGTGCCATCTTCCGGAGTCACAGGATGACAAGGGCTGCCCATTAAACCCAGAGGAAAATCAAGGGCTGGAAAAGGGAAGTGGCTCTGCCAGGGAGGAAGACAAGCTGAGAGCCCTCCCAGGGCCCCTGGGGCTCAGGGTAGGCTAGAGTTCTCCCACTCCTCCACCCTCTGACCTTCTGGAGAATGGAGGGCTGGTGTGGGCTGGCCATCCTCTTCAGACTGCCTGGAAGTCAAGAGGAGACTAAGATGGCCTCTCCAGGCAGAGTGCTCTTCTCGGCCTCTCCTCTCCCTCTCTGCTCAGGGCCTGGAGCCCCGCTGGGTGTTCAAGAGTCCCTCAGCATGCTACACTGCTCTGGGTGATGCCAACCCCTCCACGGTGGGAGAGGAGTCGAAACTAGGGTGGAGGAGGAGGAGGCCAGAGCGGGGCCCAGCCTCCTATTCTGAAACCCCAAGGATGGAATCCATTCTGACCCAGTTTGGGGTTCTTCTCACACACCCACACTTATCCACAAACACCTGTGCAGCTCAATCCCACACTTGCTCTGGTTCAGCTGTGTGGGGTGGAGAAAGGGGAGCTTCTTTATGGCTGAAACTTACTACTGGCCTACTTGGTGTTCATATAAACATATGAGAATATATGAGAATTCTCATATATGAGAATCACTAAGTAGCTAGCAGGTGGTATTTCTCTGGGCCAGACCCTAGGTTCATGGTGAAGTCCTGGGCTCCAGGGAGGTGCTAAGATCTGCAGTGAGTAAGTGAATTAGTGCACATACATCAGTGTTGTTCTCATGGAGATGGAGGCTGGCTAGCCCCAGAAACACTGATCCATCTGGTGGTTTTTCTATGGGGCTGAAGTTTCTTTCTCTATTGCCTGAAATGGATGCCCTCTGGCCCTCAGACAAGATGTCTTCATGCTCACAGTCTCCCAGACTGAAAGTGAAGTTCAGAGAGGTTATGTGATGTACCTGGCATCGTGTGGCCAGGCAGTGGAAGAGTCAGAACCTGACCCCAGGCCTCATGCCTCTCCTGGGTGGAGAGCTGCCTCTGGAGGGTTGCTAAGCCAGGCTGGTGGCAGGCTGCCGAAGACACTGAGTGCCCTAGCCCTCCTTCCGAGGAGGCACTGCTCCTGCCCAGGCATCCTTGAGCCCACAGGACACGAGCCAGGGTAGGCTCTTCTCTTCCATCTCCACTAAAGGTTAGGCCGAGAGTTCTTGAAAAGCAAAGTTGAGTTAGATGACCTGGGTTCAAATCCCAGCTCTGCCGTTTGCTAGCTATTTGATAGTGGATACGTTACTCAGCTTCTCTGTGCCTCCTTTTCTTCAAGTGTAAAATGGGTAGACTACAAAGTAATGGTAACTATCTCACAGGTTGTTGCGGGTAGGGGAGGCACGAGAGAGAACAGGGATAAAGTGCTGACTGCAGGGACTGGCAGATGTAAACACCCCCTACAACCAGTGATATATGCCTCCCGGGTGCCCAACACTGTGCTGGACACTCATAAATATCATTAAAATGTAACCGAAGTGGAGTACAGAGCAGAGAAGAGCCAAGAAGATAAACAGGAGTCAGCACTGTCCAGCCAGCTCTTGGAGCCTGCCTGGAAGAATGCTGTGTAATGGCCTGTCTCCTCTCAAGTGTCCATCTCTATGAGGTCCTGGATGCTTTGTTCCAAAGACTGCAGTAAAATCCACCCACTTCTGCAGGGAGTTAAATTCTGGCAACGCCTTAGAGGTTCAAGAGAAACTCCTACCTCTCCTTTGAGGAGCCAAGGAGAAGAGTTTCAAGAAAGCCTGCCTGATGAAAGGTACATAAAGCCCAATGCTACTGTGCCCAACTAGAAGGCCTTCAGTCCTTAGGGTGGAAAGTGGGGCCTCTACTCACAGAGGAGGGATGACAATGGTCTGCAGTCCTGGCATGGCCCCTGTGTATGGTCTGTGCACTGCACAACTCCAGGGGCATCATTCACATGATGGCACCCCTAGAGTTATGCAGTGCAGCGGCTCTGAGCTAGTAGCCTCCTGCATTTCTGCAGAGGCTGCCAAAGAATCCCTTCAGCCAGGCCCTCCTGCCCAGTCCTCCTTCTCTCCCTGACACTGTTCTCCTATAGCCAGGGCTACCTTAAATGGGGTGTTAGAGGAAATCTACCCTACAAAGTGCCTGAGACCACCTAAACCATTACATGCCTTGAAGTTTTCCATGAATCCTATGGAGGCCGATCCTGCAGAATTTCATTCTGGCGCCTTTCTTCAGATGAGTATGGGAGGAAGGGGGAAGTGACTGGCACCAGTACAGGGAGACAGGTGGGCAGCCCCATGCCAGGGGGTCACGGAGTCAGTCACTTATCCTCACCCACAGAGTTGGCTATTGGAAGTCAGTGGAAGAAGGAAGGTGGGGAGGAATCTTTTATGACACATGGATTCAGGACGGGCCAGCCTGCTGCCACCCTCTCACTGCTGTGGCCGGGCTGCTTCCCAGGCAGCGGCAGGAGACTGCAGTTAATCTTCGATGCGCCTGCAGGGGACTCGGAAAAGGCCTTGCTGGACTGCCAGGTTCCTGTCGCTGGACCAGCCATGGGTGGGGCAAACCGCAGCCTGGGGCCCAGGCCACTCAGCCCTGAGGACCAGGCAGCCTGTGAGTCCTTCTGATGAATTACAACCCACCAGTTTGACTTTGGAGATAAACAGTCATTTGTTTAAGGGTAACAAAAAGATGCGTATCTGCCTGTTCCCATCATTTGGCTGGTTATCACATGAAGCATGTTTGTTCTAAACGCATTGCTAAGGAACTTTTGGATGCACACAATATAAGATGAGAAAGGTCACGGTGTTATACTAGGTGGGTCTGATGTGGGACTCTGGGGAACTGAACTGGAGAAGCAAGAACTGGGGTCGTAGAAGAGGCTTTCTGGAGTTAGGGCGCTGGAGAGCACCAGGTGGCAGACACCAGCGTTCCTCTTCTCTGGAGCATCCGGGCCCATCCTCCACCTCACATCCCGCCCCCACCCTTCCCTGGGTCCCAGCCACGCCCTCTACGCGCCCCTCCTCACTCCTACTTCCCCTTCTGGGAACAAGGCAGCCTTCAGTTTCCCCTCTGATCTACAGGTGCTTGTAAACAAAGTGCTGCAGCGTTGCCTGCTCCTCCGCAGCCACCTCCACACCCCCTACACGGCAAAGTTCCGCGCAAGGTTAAGCTGGGTTCCAGCGGGGATATGCAAAGGGTCCCCCGACCCAGCTACTGGGCTCGCTGCTCTTTTCAAGTCCAGTGAGCTTGGGAGTCTTCCCTCCAGGTTGGAGGTTCAACTTCTGGGTCGTTCTCCCCACTGAAAGATTGGTCCTGGAAAATTATCCTCCATTAGTGCTCGCGTCCCTCAATGGGAACCCCAGACCTGGCTCTGGCGGCCACCCAGAGGTGGCCTATGGTATTTTCACTGCCGTCACCCGCCCCCCATTACGGACGGACGGACACGCCTTTCACCATCTCGCCTTTAGGAGGATTGCTCAGAGCGCCCCCCTGACCCCAACTCAAAGCGCCAACCGCGGGCCGGTCCTTTCTGTCGCCCCCACCCCAAAGCCCAAGATGGAAACAGAGGATAAGCACAGGAAGATGCTGCCTTCCCCGCCGGCCCCACCCAGACCTGCCCCTTCCGCAGTGGCCCGTATGTGGAACCTGCAGCCCCCACCCACCTTGGGGACACCTGGGGGTGGCTCATCAAAAAAAAAAAGAGAGAGAGAGAGAGAGAGGAGTAGGTCAGGGACCCAGCCAAAGCCAGGGCCCCCGTGCCTCCCTCCCTGCCTCCTCCCCCTAACCTCCGCATCCCGCACCCCTCTCCGCATCCAGCCTGCAGAGGAGAGCTTATCGCTAACGCACGCCCCCAGAGCAACTCCTCGCTTGGGGCGTGTATGTATGGGACTGAGGGTCCCAAGCCCGCCAGCTCCGGGGCTGAGGGGAATATGAGGAAGGGGTTCAGGAGCCCGGTGGGTGCGCGCTGTTTACTCTCTGCAATTATCCGGTTGGGATAGTTGCGGGAGCCAGTGGCTGCCATGGGCAGCCTTCACTCCTGGCCCCAGGGTCTCTGCTCCGAAGCTCCCTCCCTAAATCCCCGCGCGGACCCTCGACCCTCTCGGCCCTGCAGACTCACATCTCGGAAGCGGTTCCAGTGCTTGATCTTGCCACTGTACTGCGAGATGGACGACAGCCATTGCTCGTCCTCCATGAAATTGCCGGGGGTCTCGCCCTCCTTGAGCCCTTTGGCGTCGCCTTCGGCCAGGGCAGCTGCCGAGAGCAGCAGCAGCGGCAGCGCCAGCCGCCCGCAGCCCCGAGCGCACATCGTGGTCTGAATTCGACCTGGAGGGTGGGGGAGTCTTGACTTCTGCAGTATTTTAATGTCCTTCTTCCCACCCCGCAGCTGGCGAGGCAAATGTCCTCGTCTTCCTCAGCCTTCCTCCTGCGGTCTGACTCCGATGACAGACGGATAGTGGGTCGCTGCTGAAATGTGACCTGGTTAGGAGATGCACTTGTCTGAAAAAAAAAAAAAAAAAAAAACCCAGCGCTGGACGTGGAGAGGAAGAGAGAATCAGAGAGGCTGCGCCAGCAGGGGCCGTGTCTGTAACTGTAGCATCAGCATCACGTTTGACATCATCATACCTGGTTTAAAAAAAAAAAAAGGAGGGCGTAGATTTCAAAGGGAAGCGCTTAATCGGAGCGCCAAATGCCAGTCAGCCGCCGCAGAGCCCAGCCCAGCCCAGACCATCCCAGCACTTAGGCAGTTGCAAACCAAGGAATCCAAATCTCAAGATGTCCCTGCTGTCTCTCCAAGGGTAGAGAGCAAAACCAGTGCCAGATCCTCCTCAGGGAAGATGGGAGTGAGGAAAAGACAAAACTCTCTGGTTACAAAGCCAACCAGGCTCAGGTGTCTAAAAGGGAATTTGGCCAGAGACACTCTTCTCTCCCCTTGCCTCCCACCCAGAGGGGCCTGCGCCAAAGCCCTGACAGCTGGCTTCCTGCGAGTTATGGCTCTACAATAATGGGTGGCTTCGTTAAGACAAAAGCCATATAACAACTGGCTGCCTCAGAACTATTGCTGCCAAGCCCCACATGCTCTTTTCAAGGCAAGGCCTGAGCACTGAATAGCTGGTGAAACAGAGGCAGATGTCCTCCTCCCAGGCAGCTGTTTAAAGGCTGTCACCCTTTTTGTTAGCTCTTCTGAGGGCGACCCTAAAAGGCAAATGTCTGGCCATTTCATCTGCCTTGAGGCTTCAAATCTGAACTAGGCACATTTGCTACGGTTTTGACTTCGAGTTGACTTTATAAGTCACTGGGGAAGGGGGTGTAGGGAGGCTGGTTTTTTTGAGGTGTTTTTGTTAAAATCGTGATCTTTATCACTGCCTTTAGAAATGTGTTGACATACACATTTCTGGGCACAGTCCCAGGATCAGAGCAGAAATGGGGCGAGGTTTGTATCACAAATAAATTGAAGAGGAAACAGATAATATAACAGGACAAAACATATTAAACTTTTGGGATCCAAGTCCTGGATTGTTTTTATTTAAAAAACAAAGAAACTTTTTTAAAAAAAGAAGAAATCAAAGGCAATGAAACAACATGATCTTAATCGATAGGGAGAAAAAACACAGGTTACAAGGTTCATAGGCACCCTGAGTCTGGCTTGCCTGGGAATTCTGAATGCATCAATGGCTTGGGCTGGGGTCCCTCCGGAAAACAGAAAACAATAGCTCCCTTTGCATGTTTTCTTTTTCCTTTGCAGCTGGACTTAAGAGGTGCTGCTGCAATGAGGCCCTGGCCATTGATGCTTTCATCTCACAGTAAATACAGCAGCCTTGCCTTGCCCGGTAATTTGTTGTCATATAGACTGGGGGCGGACCCCCTCTTACTAGCTGGGTTCTTGGGCAAAAATACCTAATCTATTTTCTATCTATAAATTAATGATGATGCCATTCACCTCAGAAGACTGCTGTGGAATCCATGCAAAATTAAATACTAAATACCTGGGCATAGTGAACATTTCTAAAATGCTATTTCTTCTTCCCGCAGGTTGAGAAGAGGTAGCTATGATGTCCCATAGTTCTGAATACACACTAACGTTTGCTATCTTTTTCCATTTCAATTCTAGTCTTTTAGCAAAGCTAGTTATGTGTCTCCCAGTCATTAAGGAGGCAGAACCTAGATACCATACACCTCCCATCTCCCATCTTCGATACTATCTTATGAACTCCCTGGTCTTCTGGAATCACTATGGTTGCCCAATAAAGAGTTTGAAAGGCTTTAACAAGATGCCCATCAATAAGACAATAACTGTTTCCAGACCCCTGAAGGTCAAAATGTTTCCCATATTCCTGGGTAATGCCTCCAATGGGACTTGCCTTCTGTAGCACCTTCAAGATGGGTCAATATTAGCCACGGGCAAATCAACAAAAATCCAGAGCTGTTAATTCTACTGTAAAGCTACTTAGAGAAAATTCAAATTTCCAGATAAGAAAAAAGTTGTAGAAAGTGGACAATAACTATAGTTTATAAAGAAGAAAATGTTCTCCTAAATTTTGAGAGACTTACTGGCAGGTCCTCAAAGGGCCTCAAAGCTGCTGGGTATATTTGATAAATGGTACATGTTTTTCTTTTTTAAAAATATTTAGCAATACAAAATGGAAGAAGGGCCTTAGCTTCCAAATAAGAAACTTAAATTTAACCACATCTTTAAAACCATTTAACCTCATTTCTAGATGACCTCACAGACATAAAAATACAAAGATATTCAATCCAGAATTATTTAAAATAGCCAAACCTGGAAACCAAATCAATGTCCATTAGTTAGGGATCAACTAGTTAAATTATAAAAACATACAAAAGGCTATCCTGCAGACACTAAAAATAATGTAACTCTGTATCTATTGACAACTAATGTGATCCACTGCGTGTTACTGGGTAACGAAAGCTTATTATAGAAGACCGTATATTCCAGGTTGGGCTTCCCTGATGGCTCAGCAATAAAGAATCTGCCTGCAATGCAGGAGGCTGAGGTTTGATCCCTGGGTTGGGACAATCACCTGAAGGAGGAAATGCAGCCCACTCCAGTATTCTTGCCTGAAAAACCCCATGGACAGAGGAGCCTGGTGGGCTACAGCTCAAAGGGTCACCAAGAGTTGGACACCACTGAACGACTGAGCATGCAAACACATAGTATAGTGCAGCAGTTCTCAGATTTCTGGTCTCAGGAATCCTGTACACTGTAAGATTATAGAGGATTCCAAAGAACTTCTGTTTTTGTTTGTATGAGATATACAGTATAGACACTGATATACTGTACTTGAAAAATAAACCCGGCCTCTCAATTTTTCTGTGAACCTTAAACTGCACTAAAAGATCTTTCAAGGAAAAATTAATATTCAGTTCGGTTCAGTTGCTCAGTCATGTCTGACTCTTTGCGACCCCCATGAACCGCAGCACACCAGGCCTCCCTGTCCATCATCAACTCCTGGAGTCTACCCAAACCCATGTCCATTGAGTCGGTGATGCCATCCAACCATGAAAAAGGTGCTGGGAGACTTGGCTTCTCTTATCTCCTCTTGGCTTGCAGATGTCTGCCTTCTTATTGTCACACCTGGTCTTTGCTCTGTGCATGCACATAGCTGACGCTTCTTTCTTTTCTGGTTATCAAACAATCCTTTATTGACGTATTTTCCTTTGTTGTCCTTAATTAGCAGGGCATTCCACTGGACCACTGTTGATGTCATCCATGATGTCATTGAGGGCGGCAGCCATCAACATTGCAGTCCACAGACTGGGCAGTTCCTGGGATCTCTTTAATGATTCCAGACAGTTCTTGAACTAAAAATAAGTGCCACATCGGCTGGGCAATGCTGACAATCTCATCAAAAATTGTATTTCCACTGTGCTCAATGTTCTGCTTCTTCCTGTCTCTTGGACATTCCTTGAGGGTTTTGATGATCAGGGCAGAGGCAAAGGGAACTTCTTCAGTCTAGCCCTGTCTGTTCCGTATTGGTCAGTTTCACTGTCATTCTCAGACCCTTCTAATCACCAGTTATTAGGTAATATTATCAACCAAACATTTTTGAAGACAGACCCAGGGACCAATATTGGTAGTCTGGGGTCCAGTGTTTCTTCACGTGTCCAAATCTCCTCTCCTTATAAGGACATCAGTCAGACTGGCTTAGGGCCCACCATAACAGCCTCAGCCTCATTTTAAATTAACTACCTCTTTAAAGGCCCTATCTCAAAACAGTCACATTCTGAGGTACTAGGGGGTGAGAGCTTTAACATATGAATTCTCAGGGGACACAATTCAGCCCATAACAGCAGGTGTAACGGGAAGTAGCTAGTAATAGCACAGCAGAAGTACTGAGAGCAAACTATCTCTAAAAAACACATATCTAAAACCTAAAACCACCAACTTATAAAATTCCAGAAAACATAAGAATATACACACATACTATTCTATTAACCATCAGTGTGGTGATGTTACCATATCACATAGCCTCTGGACACTCCAATGTACACTCAGGAGAGAATTAGAGTGAAAAAGGTAAATTATATCTTAGTATTTTCATGAGAATAGTAGGATTTTCTCACCCCTCTCAAGGAATCAGGGACTCTGAGGGGTCCAAAAATTACATTTTGAGAACCACAGATACAAGCTTTATGACCTCAGGCAAATTTCTTAACCTTATTAAATCTCACTTTCTAAAATGAGGTATGATAACACCAACTTATTGACTTATCAGGGATTCCCTGATAGCTCAGCTCCCACATCTGCAATGTGGGAGACCTGGGTTCGATACCTGAGTTGGGAAGATCCCCTGGAGAAAACAAAGGCAACCCACTCCAGTATTCTGGCCTAGAGAATCCCATGAACTGTATAGTCCATGGGGTCACAAAGAGTTGGACACAATTGAGCAACTTTCACTTCACTTCACTTCAACACCAACTGAAGTGGGCTTGTGAAGATTTAATGAATAAATACACATTATTTACAAATAAATGACAAATGTGAATATTCTGTTAATATTAGCTGTTATCATTTGTGAAAAATAACTTAGCAATATGACATATGTGCTTAAATGCATAAGAAGTAGTAGCCTGTGGATGAGGAAATTTATTTTTTAAATGAATATTTAAAGTGAAGCACAACACACACACTGGAAAAAGTTTAAGACATTAAAGTATATAGCTTGATGATTTTTCACACAGTAAGCTTATTTTACCTTTAAGAGATCATTTTATTAACAACAAAGTTATTGATAAACAAGCACAACAGCTGCCCCTTTTCTTACCTATAGCATCCTTGGGCTTTGCTACTCATCTCGCTGCAGGCCTAAAGACAGAATCTGAGAGGTGTTCCTTAACTCATACCCCTCTGGTTCCCTTTAGCACCAGGAAAATGGCAGAGTGCAAGGGCAAACCTGAACTAAGCTTTGTGTCATTATGAAGCTGGATTCTCATCAGTGTCCAGTTTAATAAACTCTGAAATCCACTTAAAAAATAACCATTATAAGTAAGATTTATCATGTCTCTACCAAGGGTATGGAGTTTATTTGGGGGTAACTCATTATGCCCCATCCAAAAAACCCACAAAATTATTCTCCATAACAAAATTCCTTTTATAACAACACAGATCTCATGTAACAATCGTGGTAAGAGATTCTTCTCCCCCTCCTCTTCTTAAAAGAGTTAAGGGTGAAGCCAGTGGTGCCTTAAAAGTCAACCGGAGCGATGTTAGCTGCAACTTAACTCTATTTCACTGCAGAATGAACTGCAAATTGGTAACACTAAGGGATACTGGATTATAAGTAGAGATCAAATCCTCCAACCTTGACCTCATTACAGTTTGGTGAAAGAGGACTTGGAGTCTTAAACAATTCTGTTAGCTCCATCAAAAATTATTTGCTTACACTGTTGCTCTTCATAAAATTTCTGTTATACATCAAAACTATCTGCTACTCCCTCTCCACAATAGTTGTTAAAAGTGTACTTTCTTTAGAGCTATGGTGTCTCAAAAATTTGTCTACTGGCATCCAGAAAAAAAAAAAATTAAAACATAAACACATTCCCCCCCCAATTCTACCGATAACTACTAACCTACAAAATTCTACAAAACACAAAAATACACAGGCACACACATTATTAACCATTGGAGTGATGATGCCACCTTATCATGTAGCTGCTGGAAAATTCCACTTAACAGTAATGCTAAGTCCTTCTTTGCTTGGTTACCTCTAAATACTAAATAACAGAATTTCGGTTAAGAATTTATGACTCAGGGTAAAGAATCTGCCTGCCAATGCAGGAGATATGGGTGCAATCCCTCGATTGGGAAGATCCCCTGGAGAAGGAACTGGCAATCCACTCCAGTATTCTTGCCTGGGAAATCCCGTGGACAGAGAAGCNCTTGGTTACCTCTAAATACTAAATAACAGAATTTCGGTTAAGAATTTATGACTCAGGGTAAAGAATCTGCCTGCCAATGCAGGAGATATGGGTGCAATCCCTCGATTGGGAAGATCCCCTGGAGAAGGAACTGGCAATCCACTCCAGTATTCTTGCCTGGGAAATCCCGTGGACAGAGAAGCCTGGCAGGCTACAGTCCATGGGGTCATAAAAGAGTCAGACATGACTTAGCAACTAAACAACAAAAACATATAAAGTTACATTTTCCAAAAACAAAAATTTTATTTCTAAAAACAGAAATCGTACCTCTGATACTCAAAAGAAGACATCTTTATTTCCTGGGATGGTAGCTGTCAGAAAAAAGCCAGTTAGACAGAAGCAGTACCAAGATGAGATGAGGGCACTCAACTCCACAGTCGATTCTGCTATTCAGTACTACCCCTGGGAGCACTTATTCCCATACACCATCGAACAATCAGAGGTGAGTGAAGTAAAAGCTCCACTTAAATAAAAACTGAATATTACCTGTAGAAAGCTTTTTTGGGGAAAAAACCAACCCTGCAAGCACCAATATTAAGTCTTGGAAGAATAAAATAGCTATGCCAGTGAATAAGTGATGGCAGCATTGTATCCCGATGTACACCAAGGGGGTCAAACTAAAACTAAACAGGAATACCAAAAGAAAACACAGTCACTTTAGAAATCCATTTATTCACAAATGATCTGTGCTGTCCCAATGATGACAAATCCGAGTGTTACATACAGTCTTACCAGTTAGTGGCCTTATTAACACATGGGGTTCAGAATCAGGCTTCTCAAACAGAAAGTAAGAAATCAGGATGAGACTAAGGAGTGAAGGAAAGACAGAGGCCATGGAGGGAGGAAAGCTGCGAGGGGGCAGGGATGAGAGGTGACAGTGAGGCTGGAGCTCCCTAGCAGAGAACGTGGCAGGGCTGATGGGTGGGGCTAAGCAGAGGAGCCCCCGCCCTCTGCCGGTCTGCAGCATAGGAGTGTCTTCTGTGGCTGACATTGTCCTGGGAAACTTTGCACAGTCCTGCTGATATCATCATTGTTTCAATTGCTGCTGCCCTGGGAAGTAAACAGAAAAGAGCCACAATACTGCAGCTCCATCAGTGGTACGGGAAGACAAGGGTTAGGGTAGGGTGAAGGAACAGGAATTGAATAAGCATAAAAGGGACCAACCTCAGAAGAAAAAGGACAGATCAAAGTAAGAAGTTAAAACCTTTACCAGTTATTTTGCTTAAGTTAAAATTCTAAGTAGTAAAGGAACTGAAAGCAGGGTCTCAGATATTAATTTGTACACCCACGTTCACAGGGCATTCTTCACAACAGCCAAAAGGTGGAAGGAACCCAAGTGTCCATTGACGAAGAACTGGATAAACAAAATGCAGTACAATTGGCCCTCAACACATCCATGGACCCCACATCCGTGGAGTCAGTCAACTGTGGACCAAAAATATTCAGAAAGTTACGGAAAGGAAAACTTGAATTTACTGTGTGCCGGCAACTATTTACATGGCATTTACATTGTATTTGGTATTATAAGTAATTTAGAAATGATTTAAAGTATCCAGGATGGTATGTATAAGTTATATGCAAATACTATACTGTTTTATACAAGGGACTTGAGAATCCACAGATACAGAGGGAGGTCCTGGAACCAAGGGAAATTGAGGGATGACTGTATACACATCCAATGGAATACTATTCATTCTTAAAAAACAAGGAAGTCCCGACACATGCTACATATAGATAAACCTTGAGGGCATTATGTTAAGAAGAATAAGCCAGTCACAAAAAGACGAATATTGTATGATTCCACTTATATGAGGTAGTCAAATCCATAGACATAGAAAGTAAAATGGTGGTTGCCGGGAGGCAAGGGGAAAAGAAGAGTTTTTTAATGGGTACAGAGTTTCAGATTTGTAAGACAAAAAGGTTCTGGAGATATTTCATAAGATTAATATAATTAAAATTACTGAACTATACACTTTTAAGTGGTTTAAGACTGTAAAGTTTATGCTCTGTGTTTTTTACCACAATGAAAAAGAAATTCTGGGTACTGATTAAAAGTTAAGAGCGTAAGAGGAAGGGAAAAATACAAACCTTCTAGAATTTGTTGATATTTGATCTAGATGGAGAGATTAATAAGATCACATATCTATAATTCTCTTAAAGTATTAATACAAAATAGTTTAAAGGCTGGGGAAGAATCAGTAGGTATATAAGAAATACTGCAAGTCTGAGCTCCAATGGGCTTCAGAGGTACACTTCCAGAGAAGAGCTTTGGAAAGAGAGATACATTCTGTGAAAGATGAACAGGCATGTGTTACAGGCACATGTTCTCCCCATGCCCAAAACTATCCTGGCTGACAGTATGGTGATTGTGGACAACCATTAGACACCATGGCATCCTCGGGGAGCCACCCAGGGAAGTTATCACCCAATGTTCCACAGATGACATTTCTCCCTCAGCACCTTGTGAGGATGTTTAACTTCCAGTGCTTCCCAAGATTTGCTTCTATGGACTTTCAGTTACTGACCATGAAGAATGTTAAGTTTTGTTACAGCCAGGATAAAATTTGATATAATACATTCCTCTACCTTATCAACAACATTTATTAGAAACAGTGACTAAAATAAACAGAAGATAAGGTTCCTGCCCTACAAATGATTTTGATAACCTAGTGAGGAGTTCAGAACACTCTCACACACAAAACAGCCAGGGAAACACTTCTATTGAATGACATAACAAGTACAAATGATAATGTTTATCAAAAACCTTTCATTAGACTTTGGATTCAAGCCAGCATCTTAAAGAAAATGCTCTTTACTACAATTCTTTATTTTAAAAGCTTTCAGCTTTGTCAGAAGAAGGGATGAGCCACACTCTGAGAAAGACCTACTCCTGTGATGAACACATTTACAAGGCAGAATGCAAAAATGACATCAGAATTCACCCCAAGAAAATTAAGCTACAATGCTTAGATAAGGAGTGTCAAAGTGCAAAGGGCTGCCCTTTTTCTGTTAGGATGCAAGAGTTGCTCTTTCTTAAATGTCAGCATGATCCCAAGAAAGCCTTTCAGTATGTGAACCAACAATGCTTGAGTAGAACCTAACGCTGAGACCTTTGCACACTAGCAAGTGACTATCGTGTCTCTTCACTTACTTTTATACTCTCTACAGCCATGGACTTTAGCCATTGTCACCTTTTCTCTTCCTGCAATTAATGTCCTAGCAAAATGCCTGGGGTTCATTAAAGGCTAACTTTATAAAGCCCAGTAAATATTGATTCTTCAACATGACATCAACTTGACCCCAAAGATCTATTTAGAGGTTGTGTGCTGCATTGTCTTGTCTTTCAGAAAGGTGATCAGCTCTTGCCTGCATTGATTTACACAATTAACTTCTCTTCCTGGCTTTGGTAGCCTGTTCAAACCATATCTACCCTTTTGTGTAAGAAAATACTGCCTGAAATGTTTATTTGCTAATCCCCTTTGCTGAACATTAAAGTGAAAACCACGTCAACAAGACCAACAGATTTGTAGCTTTACAAACTGAAGCCTTCTAGGTACAAAAAAGACATAACCAAATGGGCAATGAACAACAAGACAAAAACAAAACTAAAAGGGAACTCATAATACTTCCAACGAGTTACTTTTTAGGGATTAGCAGCCCATGGTTCTCCTCTTTGTGCCTATGTTTCCATGTGATGGAGACACCACAGCTAGGAGCTGGAAGGTATTTATCTCTGACTTCACTTTGGCATGATTTGACAGGGAGATTTCTCATGCTTTAGGTTTGAAGCGAAGAGTAAATACTACTATAATGAAGTTAGCTGGGATGTGATTTCAATGAAGTAATTACAAAACTGAAACAGCAGACTGAACACAAATTCTCTTGCTTCTCTAAGGCAAGAGCAGTGGGTGGGAAGGGTGAAGTCAGTCCAAACTTTCAACAGGCCGTGTGAGAGCTGTGGACAGACACCACCACCCACAATACAAGATCATAAAGGGCAAGGACTCAAAAAGATGAACAAGTCAAAGTACCTTCCTTATAAAATGCAAAGCACTACTGAAAAGTAAATATTGCCTATGATGTTTACAACATCTCTCTGCTCTTTCTGAAGTGATGAAGTGAAGTGAAAGTCGCTCAGTTGTGTCCAACTCTACGACCCCGTGGACTATACAGTTCATGGAATTCTCCAGGCCAGAATACTGGAGTGGGTAGCCTTTCTCTCCTCCAGGGGATCTTCCCAACCCAGGGATTGAACCCAAGTCTCCCCCACTGCAGGCACTTTTTAAAACCTGTCCTTATTCTACCTTCATAGGTCGCCATCTTCTTCCACACATGTGGTAACATCTTAATCAAATGAATTTCTTATCCAAAGTCCCTACTGCAGTGTAAAGCTTCATTTTGGCCTTTTCTGTCCCCATGTCCTTGTTCTCTCTGTGTATTTATGATGATTTAGTAACAACCTTTCATAGTTATTTTATTTTTAGTCATTGTTATATCTTCAGTCTTAAGCTTTTGTTTTAGTTCTGCCAATTATTTCTAGTGATTCATTGAAATATAAGCACTCTGAAAGAAGGGTATTTTATGTTCTTCAAAGCTGAATTCCACTATAGGCTGTAACTGTAGCCAGGAGACTGCATATGATCAATAAATATTTGTTGGATAAAATGACAACAAAAACAAATGTTTAAAATGTCTGTGTACTTTGTGTTGGAAAACAGAAAGCATGGCCTTGTTTAGACGGATATAAAGATTTCATTTACAGATCACTGCCTAGGAACCCTTGAGGACTTACTCAATGGTGTTACTTCCAATTGTACCTCAACTGTAATTACTTGTGAAGAAAAAATTTATTAGTAACAAAAATTTCATATATTCCTTTAAATTTCTATGTTTCTTATTTTTCAAAGCCTAGTCTTGAATCAGATTTTTGATCTGGAATGTCACTGAGCACCTGATGATGTGCTTTTTCTTGCAAAGAGGCATATGATGTGGTGCTGTATCCCAGGCCATCTGGTTAGGGAGACAGGGTATGTGTCAGAAGAGAGGCATGTTGATGACATGGGTGTGTTCACCTTGTGACAAGTTACTGTGTTATGTATTCAATTAAAAAGTTTACCTAAAACAATATAGACAGTAAAGGTTCAGTGTGGGAGGAGAGGTACAGGCAATCAATATGCAATGGGAGGTAAGAAAACGATGGAGAGGGCTCGGTCTCTAGACAAGCCCATTAGAAGAGACAGAAACTGAACTGGGCCTTGTAGCAAGTCTAAGACTTAGAGAAGAGGAGGAGGAAGGGCAGCATGAAGGCAGAAATGGGTCTGGAGGGTCAAGAAGATCAGTTTAGATGTATGGAGGGTTCCTAAAAAGACGCAGTGAGAAGCACTAAGGCTAGAGACATAAGGAAGGTGAATCAGATTAAGGGGGGGTCCTGAGGGTGAGATTCAGAAGTAAGACTTCATTCTAGATGGTGGGAACCACTGAAGGCTTCTGAGGAAGCTAGGGGCCCAAGATGAAAACCAAAGGAAATTAATCTGGGTGTGATATATATTTGCTAACTGGGGAAAGGAACAAGAGAATAAAGAAAAAGAGACCAGAGTAGTATTTAAGTTGTGACATACTGAGTGTCTCTTGACTAAAAATAGTAGTAGTGGGCCTAGAAAGATTGGAGCAGATGTGAAATACTATGAATGAAACAGAGAACAGACTCTGTGATTTCTGGATATGAAGGAGGATACAGGAGATGAGAAAAGTCATGGATGACAGGGTAAAAGGTATGTGAGGGCACCAGTAATAGTAGCAGAACATTTCTGAGTGGGAGCGATTTTACAGGGAAAACAAAAACAATTCAGGTCCGTATCTTTAGCTGTGTGTCTCAAGCCCTTCTGCAGCCAAGGGTTTGCCTGGTATGCTCTAAGAATATAAATGAAAGGCATGAAATCTATAGCACAGTTAAGTGGAAGCACATCCCATAAAAAAACTTTACAACTGTCCATTTCTAAAAATTGAGTAGTAGTTCTCTATCTATTAGGGAAATGAACTACTTGCATGATGAATTGCAAATATATTTTCCCCCAGTTTGTCATTTGTCTTTTGACTTTACTTATGGTGATTTTTACCATGTCAATTTAAACTTTTATAAATTCAAATATAACATAACAGTAGATTTTTAAAACAAAGTTACCTAATGCAAATACTGTTATATATTAAAAGATCAAGGTGAACAACAAACATATAAGTGTTGACAATAACACTAATGAAATAAAGATCATAACAGCCAGAGTTTACTGAGTAACCATGCATGTCAGGCATTACACTTTGGGCTGTATGTGATTATCTGATGGCCTCCTCATTTTGGAGTTGAATGTGAAGTTTAAAAGGCTAAAGTAAGTTTCCCAAGAATACAAAGCAAATAAACACTAGAAAACTGACATTCATAAAGTCTGAAAAAGGGGAAAAAAAGGAGACTAAGATTAAAACTCAGAACTTATATACAAACCAGAAACAGACCCATAGACATAGAAAACAAATGTCTGGTTACCAAAGAGGAAAGTGGGGGAGAGATAAGTTAGGAATTTGGGATTAACCTATACATGCTGCTGCTGCTGCTAAGTTGCTTCAGTTGTGTCTGACTCTGTGCGACCCCATAGACGGCAGCCCACCAGGCTCCCTCGTCCCTGGGATTCTCCAGGCAAGAACACTGGAGTGGGTTGCCATTTCCTTCTCCAAGGCATGAAAGTGAAAAGCGAAAGTGAAGTCGCTCAAGTCATGTCTGACTCTTTGCGAC